CCGTGTCTGCTGTGGAAGCTGGAGTATCTGGCCTTACCATGTCTGCTGTGAAAGCTGAGCCCCCGGCCCTTCGTGTCCGCTGTGGAAGCTGAGTATCTGTCTTCCGTGTCCTGCTGCGGAAGCTTGGAGTATCTGGTCTTCCATCCTGCTGTGAAGCTGGATATCTGGTCTTCCATGTCTGCTGTGGAAGCTGGCTTGCACATTTGATTCTTCCACCTGCTTCACGTCACGTCCTTCTTGGACCAAGGGTTCCAGTTTCCACCTTGGGAGACTCTCCCAGTCTCACCTCTCCTGAGTCTCTCTCAGCTCTAGTTGGACAAATGTCAAATCTACTACATGTCCCCATGTGTCTTTTATTTATTTAGTTTTTATTTTTTGAGATGGAGCCTCGTTCTGTTGCCCAGGCTGGAGTGCAGTGGTAAGATCTCAGCTCACTGCAACCTCTGCCTCCCAGGGTCAAGCAATTCTTCTACCTCAGCCTCCCGAGTAGCTGGGATTACAGGCGCCCACCACCACGCCTGGCTAAGTTTTTTGCATTTTTAGTAGAGAAAGGGTTTCACCGTGCTGGAGGGTGGTTTCAAACTCCTAACCTCATGATCTGCCTGCCTTGGCTGCCCAAAGTGCTGGGATTACAGGCATGAGCCTCTGCTCCCGGCCCCCATATGTCTGTTTTTTTTTTTTAAACAGTTTTATTGAGATAAAATGCACATATCATATAGTTTGTCCATTTAAAAGTCCACAATCTGGCCAGGCACAGTGGCTCACGCCTGTAATCCCTGCACTTTGGGAGGTTGAGGTGGGCGGATCACCTGAGGCCAGGAGTTTGAGACCAGCCTGGCCAATATGGTGAAACCCTGTCTCTACTAAAAATACAAAAATTAGCCGGGCGTGGTGGCGCGCGCCTGTAATCCCAGCTACTTGGGAGGCTGAGGCAGGAGAATGGCTTGAACCTGGGAGGTGGAGGTTGCAGTGAGCTGAGATCTTGCCACTGCACTCCAACCTGTGCAACAGAGTGAGACTCCATCTCAAAAAAATAAATAAATAAAAGAAGACCTGGATAAGTGGACAAACATATCATGTTCATAGATGGAAAGTCTTAATATTAGCCAGGCGTGGTGGCACATGCCTGTAATCCCAGTTACTCGGGAGGCTGAGGCAGGAGAACTGCTTGAACCCGGGAGGTGGAGGTTTGCAGTGAAATGAGATCGCACTACTGCACTCCAGCCTGGGCAACAAGATTGAAACTCCGTCTGAAAAAAAAAAAAAAAAGATGAACGATCAACTGGGAGAAGATATTTGCCATTTTCCATATTTATAACCACTAGAGGCTAATGTCTAGACACGAACCCTGAAAATCAACAGAGGAGGACAGGAGGCCCAGAGGAGAAGTGGGTAAAGCATAGCAAAGGACCACCCACAGATGGCTGGTGAGGACGCGAAAAGACCTTCGACCTTATTTTTAATCAGGGTTAAGCAATGAAAACAAAACGCCACTCATTTTTGAAGAGAATGAAAACCCCTGCAGTCTTGCTGAAGAATAGCGCGTGGTGTGTAGTGAGAGGAGTGAGCAGCAATGGCTTACCTGCGGCATACAGCCGGAGTCATTACCTGACTTCTGCTTTTCAAGCACGTACAGTGTAACGGGGTCCATCCATCGCACAACTATACTAGCTCTGTACACGGCCTTGAGGAGGAGCAATCTTTTTGGTGGTTGTAAATTGCATTTTTTTTTGGTATGGCCTTTTGATTCTGGGAAGCACATTCATTCTATGGCTATTGACTTTTTGGATCATGAAAGCATCATTGCTTACTGAAGAAGAAGATGTAGATACGGCACTGGCTCAATGCTTCAGTCGCCTTCCTTCCAAAGCGGATGCTTCTCAAGAAATCTGGGGCCGGGCGCGGTGGCTCACGCCTGTAATCCCAGCACTTTGGGAGGCCGAGGCAGGCGGATCACGAGGTCAGGACATCAAGACCATCCTGGCTAACACAGTGAAAACCCGTCTCTACTAAAAATACAAAAAATTAGCTGGGCCTGGTGGCGGGCGCCTGTAGCCCCAGCTTCTCAGGAGGCTGAGGCAGGAGAATGGTGTGAACCCGGGAGGCGGAGCTTGCAGTGAGCTGAGATCGCACCACTGCACTCCAGCCTGGGCGACAGAGTGAGACTCCATCTCAAAAAAGAAAAAAAAAATCTGTTCTCCCAGACTCCCTGTTTCAGCATCCCACTCATCAGTCATCGAAAACTCGTTCACTAGGTTCACCACTCCTGGGTGTTACGCTGAGGAACAAGGATATTCATCACGGGGGATTCTGTGGCAGCAAAGAGCTCAAAAAAGGGTGATGGATGTGGGAAAGGGGGGGCAGGAATCTAGTGGAACACACTTCAGTGGCCAGAAATAATGCATTGTATTTTCATGTGGCAATACATGCCAAAAGCACCAGATTTGCTTAAAGGGCGAGAAACAGAGCAGAATTTATAACCATCATGAGTGTAGATAACATACACAAGGCTGGACGCAGTGGCTCACGTCTGTAATCCCAGCACTTTGGGAGGACCAGGCAGGTGGATTACTTGAGTCCAGGAGTTCGAGACCAGCCTGGGCAACATGGTGAAACTCTATCGCTACAAAAAATACAAAAATTAGCCGGGTGTGGAGTGTGCGACTCTAGTCCCAGCTACCTGGGAGGCTGAGGCAGGAGGATCGTTTGAGCCCGGGATGTGGAGGTTGCAGTGAGCTGAGATCGCACCATTGCACTCTAGCTCTAGCTTGAACGACAGAGTGAGACCTGTCTCAAAACCAAAACGAAAACCAAAAACATACACATTGAAAAATGTTACATATTTGTCACGACTATATGCAAATGTATGTAAATAACGTATGGAAGATGAATTGGAAAGATACCTGCAAGGACAGATGCCTACGGGTGGAGAGGGTGATGGGACTTGAGATAATGATGGAGAAAAAAGTTAAAACAACATCTATATAGGATTCATTAGCTCAGGATTGTGATCTAGAAAATTCTCAGCACATATATGATGCATAAATATGTATATATTTGTTTTTTTTTTTTTCAGATAGAGTCTCGCTCTTGTTGCTCAGGCTGGAGTGCAGTGGTGCAGTCTTGGCTCACTGCAACCTCTGCCTCCTGGGTTCAAGCGATTCTTCTGCCTCAGCCTCCTGAGTAGCTGGGATTACAGGCGCACCTCACCACGCCCAGCTATTTCTTTTGTTACTTTTAGTAGAGACAGGATTTCACCATGTTGGTCAGGCTGGTCTCGAACTCCTGACCTCAGGTGATCTGCCTGCCTTGGCTCCCAAAGTGCTGGGATTACAGGCGCGAGCCACCGCACTCAGCCAGGCCTTTGTTTTTATTTTGGCTACTATTAGTACAGCTTTCTTTGCATGTTATGTCTTTTTCTAACCCCCCCTCCTTTTTTTACGTTTTTGAATCCTTATGTTTTAGATGCAACTTTTGACTTTACATATAGTTATACTTTTTTTTTTTTTTTTAATTGAGGCGGAGTCTTGTTCTGTCACCCAGGCTGGAGTGCAGTGGTGCTATCTCAGCTCACTGCAAGCTCTGCCTCCTGGGTTCACACCATTCTCCTGCCGCAGCCTCCCGCCACCACGCTTGGCTAATTTTTTGTATTTTAGTAGAGACGGGTTTCACCATGTTGGCCAGGATTGTATCGATCTCCTGACCTCGTGATCCACGTGCCTTGGCCTCCCAAAGTGCTGGGATTACAGGTGTGAGCCACCGCGCCCGGCCAGTTACACATATTTTAAGAAAACTAGTCTAGCAATCTCTATATGTAAACTAGAGCATTTTATCCGTTTACTTGTAATATAATTACTGAAATATTTGGGTTTAAAGTCTATGTTCTTAGTCTGAATTTTCTATTGCATCACCTGATCTATATTTCTTTTTCTCTTCTATTCTTTTCGATTAGTGCTTTTTGATTCTAGTTTTTTATGTAATTGTTTGACTATCATACACAACTTTGGTTAGGAGTCTTGGATCTTCTTTGCTTCTTTTCCATTTTTGTCCTTGTCTCTCGAATCCTTTTTAGCTCTTCATTTCTTTTTGGTTTTTAAAATTTATTCTACTTTTTTACTCATACGTTTGTCCCATTTTAGACTTTATTTCTAGAGTGATTTCTTTTAACTCAAATTTTCTCTTGAGTAATGTCACCTCATTTAGCAATTCTTCTATTTATGGCTTTCGTTGTTCATTTATGTCTCTTTTTTTGATGGGGTTTCACTCTGTTGTCCAGGCTAGAGTGCAGTGGCAGGATCACGGCTCACTGCAGCCTCAACCTCCCTGCCATCTCAACTTCCCTAGTAGCTGGGATTAGAGGCACACACCACCATGCCCACTTAATTTTTAAAATGTTTTGTAGAGATGGGGGTCTCACTCTGTTGTCCAGGCTGGTTTTGAACTCCTGGCCTCAAGTGATCTTCCTGCCTCGGCCTCCCAAAGTGCTGGGATTACAGGTGTGAGCCACCGCGCCCAGCCTTATTTATGTCTGGTATCATTTCCTCTCATTGTTCATTAGCTCCTTTGGAAACCGGAGGCTACCACTGTGATCTGTTTCACAGCAGGCTTCCTACTTTCTTCCATTGCCTGTGGGGACTTACCGAGGGCCTCGCACCCACTCTCCACTAGAGGGAGGAAAAGCTTCCCTGTTTCAGGAGCCAGATTCAAAATTCATGCTGTGCTTCTCCAGCACGCACCTGTTGGCTCTTTTGAGGTTCCCCTGTTTTCGGCTCTGTTAGATGTTTCTTTGCTTTCTCCTACACGGACACTGAAACCCTGGGGGACTGTGACTCTGGGAAATTTATCCCCACCTTCTTGTACTTTGAAGTTTACCTGTTTTTTTCTTAAGACACCATCTCACTTTATATTGCCCAGGCTGGAGTTCAGTGGTGCAATCACAGCTCACTGCAGCCTCAGACTCCCAGGCTCAAGCCATCCTCCCGCCTCAGCCTCCTGAGTAGCTGAGGCTACATGTGTGAGCCACCATGACCAGCTTACCGGGGTTTGTATGAGTCTCCAGCGTGCATTTTCAGTTTTGTTACCAAGTTGCTCGGTGTCCTGTGGGCTGTGGGAATGTACAGGGCTCAAATGCAATGACCGCTGTGTGCCTGTCTGCTGCCATCTCCTGGAGTTTCCCAGTTTGGATTTTTGAGTAAACTGTCTTAAGCGGCATTTCCTTTTAGCGTCGTGAAACTATCAATAGTCATGTCCCCTAGCAAGACACACCTTTGACACACTTTTATTCCCTCTCCTAAACGTGGTTGAAATAATCTAAGCCTTTATTTCTAGATTATTTCATTTCTCCTTACATTGCATCTCTTTTATCTCAGAAATTTGTCTTGGAAATTCCCACTGTGTTCTTCCCTGGCATTATCAGCAGTGGCTTAGATCTGCGGGCGTTCCGTGGGTGCTCATTTCTCACCAGTGCTCCCTGTGTGCTCTCTTCCCTCCACCCTTTCCCTCCGGGTTCGCTTGGCTGGAGATCGTCCTCAGATCACTCTTGTCCCCTCCTCCCCAGTGCATGATTTCTAAAGCCTTGCCTGTGTCACCGATCAGAGAACAGGCTCAGCGTGGTGGCGCGTCACCACGAAACAGATGGACTTGGCTTAGGTTCCCCAAATGTGTCACTTCCCAGGAATTCCCCTTTCCTGCCGGGAGACTGAGCGCCGAGCACGCCTTGGGCCATTCTATAACTTCCCCGTTACTTTTAGTTATGGAAAGCCCATTGACTTCATAATTCTAAAAGGCTAATTTTGTGTTTGAATCAGAGGTGCCCTGTCGCTCAGGGGTGCTTCACTCCTCCCTCCTGTGACCTTGTCCTGCCTGGGGTCCTTCCGAGGCCCCAGAGGAGAGTGGGAAGCTGGAAGCCACGGGTCTTGTGCAAAGCACTGCTTGGCTGGTCCTCGGTACTCAGGGCCTGCCTGCCCCTCTGCGCCTCTAGGGCAGGCACCGGGTTGAGCCTTCTCCTGTAAGCAGAGAGTGTGAAGATATCTGAGGCTGAGAGGAGGGAAGAAGGGAATGGCAGGTTTTTTTGTGAATGCACCAGGCCTGCAGGCAGGCGTTTCCCAGCTTGGCTGACAGATCAGAACACAGAATCAGTCACTGCACAGGAAAGGGGTTGGACAGAATTGCACCAAGCATGCAGTTGATTTGCAGACATGAGAGGCTTTATTGCAAGGAAATTCATTCATTTTTTTTTTAATTTTTTTATTTTTTTAAACAGATGGAGACAACAGGAAGGAAGGAAGGAGGCCTTCCTGGTTACAGGTGGCCACAGGAGAATAGGCAGCGGCCCAGGACGATCCAGGGTCCCAGTGGTGGTTGAGAAGCTGGTTTTTAGTGATCACTCAGGAACATCGACCTGGCCTTGTGGGGTCAGACTTTGCATCTCAGTCATCCCAGGGAGAAGAAGAAGATGGTCCACACCCAAGTGCAGGGAACGCCGTGGCAGTCGGCCGGGCACCCGCTTCCAGGCAAGGACACCTTCTGCATCAAGGAAACACGTGTTTCCAGAGTGAGGAGGCTGAAGGCAGGGCCCAGAGGAGAGCCGAGCTATGGAAGGAGGTGTGTGCATGTATGATGAGCATGGAGAAGGTGCAGGTGCCTCAGGGAGGATGAGTGGGATGAGCTGATTCAGGGAAACCATAACAAATGCTTTCACCAAACAGGAGAAACCTGAAGATCTGGGTCCAGAGCCTCAGATCTTGCACTGGCAGCACACGGGGACACAGCAGGTGGACTGGCAGCAGCAGGGTTTGCAGCAGCTGGACTGGCAGCAGGATGACCCACAACCTGAAGAGCAAGAGCAGGGCTTGCAGCAACTGCACTGGGAGCAGCCACAAGAACCACAGCCCCCCTTGGAGCCCCCACAGGAGCCACAGCTGGAGCAGGAACAGGTTGGTACACAGCAGCAGATGGGCTTGCAGCAGCACATGGGCACACAGCAGCCAGAGCCACAGCCCCCACAGCCGGAGCCACAGCCCCCACAGGTGGAGCCACAGCCCCCACAGCCGGAGCCACAGCCCCCACAGCTGGAGCCACAGCCTCCAGAGCAGCCACAGCAGCCCATAGTTCTGGTGGGTTGAGGCTGGAGTGGGTGGAGGAGCAGGTGAGAAGGAGGTGCAGGTGTGGAGCCCCCTGAGCCCAGACCCTTTATACCCCACATAGGAGCACGCCATCGTCTCTGTCTCTTTCTGGTTGCTGTTTACACAGCTCCTGGAGGTATGTCTTGGTTGTTTTACTTTGGCTATGTTGACATTTTCTGGATCCAAGTGTGAGCTCTTCCTCCTGAGATTATTTCCTTGTGGAATTCATACTGGAAGCAAAAACAGCTTGAATGCTGGCTCACCTCAGGAGGAAGTGCAGCCTCCTCAAGGTCTTAGGCTCTGTCCCAGGTTCTGACTCTGACTCTCCCTGGGCCTTTGAGCAGATCCAATCAGCCTCCGAGCCCCAGCTTCCTCTCCTGCAGAGGGGAGCTAGCAGCACCAGCCTCTGGGGGTTGCATGAGAATCACCTGAGATTATTCATGTATTGCGTCTTTTGCAATGCCCCAACTCCCCATCCCTCACCCTCAGGCAGGGTTCTATCTTGGCAGGACTGGGTCAATGTTGCGGATTTCCCACGTTCAACGCTGTGAGACACCTTCCCCCCTCCAGAGCAGTGCCGCTCTCTACCTGATTCCTGCTGATGCCCCCAGGGATGTGGTATCTTCTTTGTGGCAACTGTGGCTGAGGATGGCAGGATTCTCAGCATTGGGGAAGGAATGCATCCTCTGTTTACCTCCTCCGTATTCCTGGACGAGTCCCTGTGGGCAGGGCAATGGGCTTTGTGATTACAGAAGGGAAGTTCACACAGCATGGTCCTTGGGGACGTGTGAGAAGAGCTTCCCACTGCTTTGGAACTGTTGTGTGGACAGGTTCTTCTCTTGGAGGAAAACAAAGCTTGGAGCAGAACTTGAGGGGTGGGGGAGGACCGTGATGGGTACAAAGAGCAACCAAGGGACAGGAAGGATACTCCAGCCAGGAGGCAGGGCACTAGCGACGGTGTGGAGGCTGCAGGTGCAGGAACCTGTCAGTATGGTCCACACTCAGATGCAGCTCAAATGTGTGAAGAGTGGATGTGCAGGCTTACAACCTTCCAGTGTGCCTCAGCCGACACGGGGTGAAACCCAAACCCCTGACACTGGCCCATGCACCTCTCCAGCTGGATTTGACCACGGCCTTGGCCACCCATCGTTCCAGAACCAATCAGCCCAAAGCTCAGTGGATCAGGAGTTCAGATCTGGCCCTGGATGGTGGAACAGGCTGCATGATGCGTGGGGTCTCAGCTGGGAAGGTACCAATGGCTAACGATGGCAGCATGGCTTGGCTGGGCTGTATTTTGGGACCTCAGTTCTGGCCGTCTGCAGGGTTCCTTGGTTTTTCTCTCAATTGTGTCAGCTGGGGCTGGCTTGTCCAAGATGCTGTGTTCACACACCTGTGGGATCGCTACAACAGGTGAGGCTGGACAGATCCTCCTCCCTCCCCCACCTCACGGCTTCTTCCCACGGCTGGCTGGGGCTTCCTCACAGCACGATGGGCTCAGGGCAGCTGTACTTCCTACGAGGTCACCGGAGCAGAGGCTGGAAGGTACCTTATGACCCAGCCTAGGAATCGTAGAGTATTTATCTCTCCTCAAGTCACTAAGGCCAGCCCAGATTGTGGAGAGAAGAGAAAATCCACCTCTCCATGGGAGGAGAATGACTTGGCATCATCTTCAAACTGCCTCAATCATTCTTCATCCAGCCCTGGATTGGTGCCTGGGACACACCGCACTCCTCCTTACTCACGTCCTGTATGCTGGCGGTTCCTACACAGAACAGACTCACAGACTCACCCAGGACCACCCTGGACTGCGTCCCTCCTGTCTGTCCAGCTCAGATCCACCTCTGACACCACATCCCGAGATAGCCACCCCCACCACCTCGCATTCTCTGCTTCATTATTGATTCCCACGATGCCAAACTGGCTCTGCTCTCACTCTTGTTTGTTCTTGGAGGTGTGCGTCCCACCTCAGGGGAGTGTGAGCTCTGCAGGGATAGCGGCTTTATCCCGCACGCAGCCATGCAGCTCTGTCACCAACACCTGGACACACTCCATAATCGTCATTAAGAGAGGGAGGTGTCAACTGAAGAAGGACGAGGTCATCAGTTTGGAAGGGAGCACTTTACTTCTCACAGTGCACTGTGGGCTGAGTGTGGCTGTTCTGACCGGCTGGGAGGCACAGCCTCTGGTAGGAAGCTGGAAACAGACACTTCGAGGGAGGGAAGACTAAGGCAGAGATCTACACTGAGCGGGGGGTGGCTGAATATGCATATTCAATAAGCTGTGGGAGGGCCATGAATATTGATGAGAGGAGAAAGCAGGCATATGCACAGTTGAGCTTCACATCTCTCCATGTGCAAAAAACCAGAGGAGTTAACCTGATCTGAGGGTGGAGTTTTGGGCCCTCTGATGTCAAAAGGTGAAGCAGCGGACTCGGAAGCCCTCCCTGCGCCTCTTCCCTGGAACGGCCAGGGCCTCTCCATGGGGGTCTCCTATCAGGAAGAAGAGAGGGGCAATGTCTGGGGTTCACTGATCTCAGCGGCGCAGTCTCCACAGGGTACGTTCCTGTTTTCCCTGAGGTGAGTGTCAGGCTCCTGAGCCCAAGCTAACACATCCAGATGGCCTGAAGCAAGTGAAGAATCACCAAAGAAGTGAAAATGGCCGTTTCTGTCTTAACTGGTGGCGTTCTACCATTGTGATTTGTTCCTGCCCCACCTTCACTGATCTATTAACCTTGTGAAATTCCTTCTCCTGGCTCAGAAGCTCCCCCACTGAGCACCTGGTGACCCCCGCCCCTGCCCGCCAGAGAAAAACCCCCTTTGATTGTAATATTCCACTACCCACCAAAATCCTCTAAAACTGCCCCACCCGTCTCCCTTCGCTGACTCTCTTTTCGGACTCAGCCCGCCTGCACCCAGGTGGTTAAAAAGCGTTATTGCTCACACAAAGCCTGTTTGGTGGTCTCTTCACACGGACACGGATGTGCGTGACAGTGAGCGACCTGAGTCATGGCTTGCCAGGAAGCAGGAGAAGGAGGCACGGCCAGCCTCGCCTCATAGCCAGGACCTCAGCTTGCAAGGTTTCCCTGTAAACCAAACATAAAATGCTAAGGCCCCTCCCCCACCATCTGAATGGACTTCCTTCTCAGCCAGGGTTGTTTTAAAATTTAACCTGAGAAACTATGATGGGCAGTGGGGGTCAGCCATGCCTCATTCTGCCTCTCCAGCATTAACATCCCCACAGACTTTTAAGTCTGATAAGAAACGTTTCACCACCTCTTCTCTCTGAAGCCTGCTACCTAAAGGTTTCCTCTGCACATGACAACCTGGGTCTCCACCATCCTTTATCCTAACCCAGACATTCCTTTCTGAGGATCCCAGGTCTTTAGACAAACTCAACCAGTTGTCAACTGGAAAATTTTTACGTCTACCTGTAGCCTGGAAGATCCCCGCCCTTCAAGTTGTCCCACCTTTCTGGACCAAACCAATGTATTGTCGACGAAAAGAGTCAAACTCTGTAAAATATTTGGAGAGATTTATTCTGGGCCAAATATGAGTGACCCTGGCCCATGACACAGCCCTCAGGAGGTCCTGAGAACATGGGCCCAAGGTGTTTGGGGTACAGCTTGGTTTTATACATTTTAGGGAGGCAGGAGACATCAATCAAATACATTTAGAAACACAGTGGTTTGGGCCGTATTTGCGGAACTACTTGAAGCAGGTGGGAGGGGAGTGGGGGCTGGGGGGTGGGAGGGTTCCAGGCTACAGGTAAATTTAAACATTTTCTGGTTGATAATTGGTTGTTTGTCTAAAGACCTGGGGTAGACAGAAAGGGAGTGTTCAGGTGAACATAAAGATTGTGGAGACCAACGTTCTTTAAAAGTCTTAACAGTGGCTGGCCTTAGAGACAACAGGGGACAAAAGTTTCTATTCAGATGTTTATGTTTAAAGGGTGCTAGACCCTTAGGTAATCTCTTTAGGACTGGGAGCGCCTGGAAGAAAAACACCTAGCTATGTTAATAGAGATTCTTTCCAGATGCAGATTTTCCCCCACAAAGGACAGCTTTGCAGGGCCGTTTCAAGATATGGCAAAAAAACATGTTTGGGGGAAAATATTTTGATTTTCTTCCTTGCCTAGCAATGTTATGCCAGAGTCAGGTTGGAAAGTGAGTCACAATATATAGGGCTAAACAAAACCCATCTGATGAGAGTTTATGATTTGTAGGGCATGACCAGACCCCTAGATAGGAATTTGAGCAAGAGAAAAAAAAAAAAAGAGTTTAGTTCTTAGTATTTCTTAAACGTATTTGATTGAAGTCTCATGTCTCCGTAAAATGTATAAAACCAAGCTGCACCCGACCACCTTGGGCACCTGTTCTCAGGACCTCCTGAGGGCTGTGTCACAGGCCATTGGTCACTCATGTTCAGCTCAGAATCTTTTCAAATATTTTACAGAGTTTGACACTTTTTGTCGACACCCCCTTGGCCAAGAGGGGTCCGTTCAGTCAGTGGTTGGCGGAGGCGTGGTTAGGATTTCCTTCTGATTTCTCTGGGGGAAGGCTCTTGCTTCTGTCTGCTGCTCACGTGCTGCATGAGTTCCTCCGGTTGGCAGCTGGTCCTGAAACCGCCTTTGCAAAGCTATGACTGAGACGGTGAGAGATCTAACTTAACTGACTTTATCTTGCTTCTAACCTCCAAGCTGTCCTTGTTCAT